CAGGTCGTGATCTCGCAGTTTGTGGGTTCGAGCCCCACATCGGACTCTGTGCAGACAAGTCGGAGGCTGGAGTCTGCTTCGGATTCTGTTGTCTCTCTCTCTGTCTCCGTTCCTCCCCCACCTGCACTCTGTCTCTGTCTCTCTCTCAAAAAAAAAATAAATAAATAAAAATTTTTAACACACAAAAAAGAAAAAAAAGACTTGACTTTGTTAGTAAAACCCTTTTTGCTGTGATTGTTGTATTGGTTGCAACTGTATTTGTCTCCCATTAGCAGAGCAGCGGGTAGCAATTTTCTTTTTACAAAGATAGTACCCAGCTTACACGCAGGACGTGTTCCAAAAGTTCATTTTTAAGTTAATTATTTGGAACTCAGAGTACATTTTCCCATAGAAGCAGCATTGTGCGTAGTGAGTAGGTTCCCAGGCCATTCCACAAAGGCCAGTTTAGCCCATAATATAACTGAAAGTGTGGATTTTTGCAATGGAAATTAGTTGGATATAATACTGTTGCAATTAAAACGAAAACAATAGTTGAAAAAAAAAACGTCTGGGTTTTTGTTTCCCTCAAGGGTTAGCCCTTGATGAAAAGCAGGTTTAATCCTAGGAAGACAAAGAGAAATACATGAGGAGTTTTGTGTGAGTTTGGACGGCACAGCTTTGGAAATTTTTTTTTTACATAATGTTTGGGATGGTTTCGTAAATAAGAAAAGCAGTCGTGTTCTTGTAGAAAATTTGGAAAGTTGAAAAATATGTTTGAAAAATTCAATCACCAGTAATCCTACCACCCAGAGAGAACATATTGGTGTGTTTCCTTTCAACCTTTTCCTGACTATGTGTATTTTTTAAATCAAGCCAGCAGTATTAACAGAGTGCATCCCACATGAACTGCTGTGCAGTCTTTAAAATGATATTTATAGGGGCACCCGGGTAGCTCAGTCGGTTAAGCCTCTAACTTCCGCACAGGTCATTATCTTGTGGTCCACAGGTTCGAGCCCTGTGTCGGGCTCTGTGTTGACAGCCTGGAGCCTGCTTCGGATTCTGTGTCTCCCTCTCTCCCTGCCCTTCCCCCGCTCGTTCTCTCTCTCTCTCTCTCTCTCAAAAGTAACATCAAACATTTTTTAATAAAATGATATTTAGGAAGAAGTTTTTAAAACATCAAACAATATTTATGATCTAGTGTTTGAGTAAAAGTCATCCTTGCATCTGATGCCTCGATTGGGGGCCAAGGTGTGTAAGGCTACCAACCAAGACCCCCAACCTTCAGTCCCACCGCCACCCCCACTCCCCACAACAGATATCAGAGTTCCTCCTTTTTGTAGAAATTCGGAAGAGGACGTGCGTTCTCTTCCAAGTGTGGTGAAGTTCATAGCACTGGCTCCTTATTCTGATTCTCCTTCAGATTCCTGAACTTTCTTCTCCCTTTCTCCGGTGTATCACCAACCCTACTCATGCTGCACAACCCTGATGAAGGCCATTTTGTAATTCATGAATAGAAAGAGGGGCACATGTTTCCTGAGGTAATGAGGCATGGACTAAAGAGAAGTGAGAAGGATTTGGGCAGAAGTGTATGTGTACTTGTAAGGCAGGAGATTATGTGGAGGAAACTGTATTGAGCCACAGTGGTCAAAGAAAGGTAGGGAAATGAAACCATGTAGCATGCAGGAGGACCTAGGGAGGGTGGAAACGAAGAAAAGTACATGCGTGTGTGTGTGTGTGTGTGTGTGTGTGTGTGTGTGTGTGTGTAGGCATGTGTTTAGGACCTGGCTTGGCTCACAGAGCAGAAAAAGGCAAGCAAAGGACAGTGAGTGTAGCGGAATTGTGGCCAGTGGAAATAAGAAAGTTTTAGGAAGAGGCAGCAAATTGTAAGGTGCATGGTAAGCAATTTTCTCTGAATAAGGGAACAAAGACTGTTTGTGAGGACAGGTGCTTGAAGCACTAATCGTCTGCGAACTAAAACACCCTGTTTGAACTCCATGTAATGTATCTGCTGTGATCAAGCACCATTTGACTTCAGCCCAGTTGCTGATTTCCTAAAAGCAGTTTACAAACACATTCCTTTTTCACACTATTTTATTTTATTTTGTTTTATTTTATTAGTCAAGATTAGATTTGCAGCTGACTTGTATTTTGGCACGGAAGTCTCAATAGCTGCCCCTCTGCGTTTGCTGTTCATCAGTGAAGGAATTGAAAATCAGAAAGGATGGAGGGGTCAGGGGAAACAAGGTGTGGGTTTAGAGGGGGTTGTATTTCATGTGGCGTTTTTTTAATGTACTGAGTGAGAAAGCAAAAGTTTCATTGCACTGTATAGAAACTTGTGCCATTTTAATTCTCGGTCATCACCATGTAAGGGAATCTCACTCTGTGGGATTCTGTGGCTCTCGTGTCGGTGAACTTACAATTCAGAGATTCTGGGTTAAGGGGACCACGAGTCCTTGGCTAGTGATTCTCCGTGTTGGCTATAAATTGGAGTCTCCTGGAGAGCTTAAAAAATCCCGATGCCTGTTCCACCCCCAAAGATTTTCACTTAATTGGTTTGGGGGTGAGAACTGGGCGTGGGGATCTTTTAAACCTCTCCGGGTGACTCCCATGTGCAAGCACTTCTGGGACCTTCTAGTTTAGCCCATTGCTTTAATTACCCGTGTGGATTAAACCAGTTCTCAAAGTGTGGTGCTGGAACTAGCAGCTTCAGCATTTATAGGGAACTTGTTTGAATGCAAATTCTTTGGGCCCCCCTCCAGATTTACGGACTCAGAAACTCCGGGGGTGACCTAGGAATCTGTTTTAACAAGCCTTTTAGGTGATTCTGATGCATGCTGTAGGTTGACAGCCATTGAATTAAACAGTCCCTCCTAACCCATTCTCTTTTTAATGTTTATTTATTTTGGGAGAGAGACAGAGAGCACAAGCAGGGGAGGGGCAGAAAGACAGGGAGAGAGTTTGCCAATCGGGCTCTGCGCTGTCAGTACATGGCCTGACTCAGGGCTTGATCCTATAAACCATGAGATCATGACCTGAGCTGAAGTCAAGAGTTAGACGCTCAGCTGACTGAGCCACCAAGGCGTCCCCTAACCCTTTCTAAAGTACACTTGTGGAGGTTTCTAGGCAGGAGGAGAGATGTCTTTACCAGCTGATGAAAACTGGTCCAGGAAAGGACTTTTTAAAAAAAAAACTTTTTAATGTTTATTTATTGCTGAGAGAGAGAGAGAGAGAGCACCATCGGGCGGTGGGGGGCAGAGAGAGAGGGAGACACAGAATCTGAAGCAGGCCCCAGGCTCTGAGCTTTCAGCACAGAGCCCAACACAGGGCTCGAACTCACAAACCGGGAGATCATGACCTGAGCGGAAGTCGGCGCTTAACCAACTGAGCCATTCAGGTGTCCCCAGGAAAGGACTTTTATAAAAATACTTCTAATTATGTTAGGAGCCATGGTGGGCAAAGAAGAAAGAGATAAGGGGGGAAATTATTTGCCACGAAGCCCAGGCAAGTTCAGGAGGGAGCATGTCTTCATAATAGTTAGGGGGTTGGTCACATAGGCAGACATAACCCTGGTGGCAATACCTGCAGGAAAACTCCTACTTATCCTTCAAAACCCCGTTCAGATGCCAACCTCCACTGTGAAGCTTCCTCTGAGCTCTAGGGTAAACTGCTTCCTCCTTGTATTTACACAACACTTGCTATCTCCCTCCTTTAGCTCTCGTCTCACTGTATTGTAGCTATTTATGTCTCTCTCCCTTACCAAATTGTGTGATCTTTGAAAGCAGGGCATTCTCATATTCATCTTTGGATATCCAGTGTCTAATACAATACCTGATACATACTTAGCGTTCTAGAATTGTTTGCTTACAGGAAGCATGAGGAACAACCACCTTTTTTTTTTTTGTTTTTTGGCTGTCATGAGCCTTCAACAGATGGGTTTACCTTTGTGAATTAATCAGGGACCCGGGTCCGGCTCTCTCCCTGAAGGCTAGGCCCTTGATTCTGTCAGCACACCATGAGTCAGTCGGTAGACGCCTCTCAGTGGTGGTGGCCTTACAGAACAAAGATCTCAGAAATATATTAGCGACTGATTATTTTACATTAGGATCCATAATCGTCAGGTTCCAGGAGTACTAATGCCAAGTTTTCTCATATTTTCTCTTATTAGACGTAGACTTTCACAGGAAATCTAATTGAAATGTACAGGGATACACCTGCAAAAGTACTGGGGTCCATGGGTCTCACCGGTTACTTTGCATCGAGGCCCTACCATCTCTGTGGTTCTTTGTGCTTCTCTAATTCTGTAATGTACTCTGTTCATCCCTGGGATGCTCACAAATATTCTTTTTCTGTAAGTTTATTTATTTATTTTTAGAGAGACAGCACGAGCGAGGGAGGGGCAGAGAGAGAGGGAAAGAGAGAGAATCACAAGCAGACTCCATGCTGTGAGCACAGAGCCCGACACGGGACTCAAACTCACGAAATTGGGAGACCGTGACCTGAACTGAAACCAAGACTCAGATGCTTAATCGACCGAGCCACTCAGGCGCCCCTCACAAATATTCTTCAAACAAGATAAACACTGAGCAAGTTGCAGTCACTTTTACAACAGTGCCTTCTGGAGGTTGTACCCAGGTCAACGTGATTGGGTGTGTGCGTGTTCCCCAAGTCTTTAGAGTCACGGTTTCCCAGGCAACCCCTTGGCTTCATTTCCTAGGTGGTTAATCACACATTCATTATAACTGGATTTTTCCTGACTTAACTCTCCAAGGGACAACCTTTTAACCTTATTTCCAAATTTTTGGGGGTGGAGCCCCTCACTGTCACCTCAGTCACTGCCGAGAGGAGTGATTTCTAACTGGTAGAGAAACTTTGAAATACATGTCAGTGTCGTGTTCTAAAATGGAATTTTTAAGAAGCTGGATTCGTACCTTCCGTGCCAACTCATGATCCTCATTTGTCAGTGCTGAATGGATCTTCCTGTTTTTTTCTTTTCTTTTCTTTTCTTTTTTAAATCTCTGTAGGCATTATACCTGATAGCCACTAATGGGACTCCAGAGCTCCAGAATCCTGAGAGACTGTCGGCTGTGTTCCGTGACTTTTTAAACCGCTGTCTTGAGATGGATGTGGACAGGAGGGGATCTGCCAAGGAGCTTTTGCAGGTGAAAATAAAACAGGACAATTACAAAGAGAGAGTCATTACATTGAGCTTTTCCATCTCAATGTGTGACAGTAAGGGAAGCCGTGTCAAGAGATGTCTAGTTCGAGTTGGGCCGTAGCCATTTGGTTTTAGACCACAGGCACAGAAACAGAGGCATGCATCTAATACATGATTGATTGGCACGTTGCCTTTCTTCTGAGAAGTTGGCACTTTAATCTGTAAATCTCTTTTGTTCTTCCTGGGGTCTTATTTTGCAAGGAACAGAAGAAAACTGTGAACCTCTGGGGTTGCCGTCTTGTTCTAAGCTTGACTGGTGCCCCTGGATGTTGTAGGCAGGTGCCCTTGGCCAGAGGTAATTCTCTGCGTAACTGTGCAGTTGTTTCCATGGCGCTCGCTACTCTAATGCCTTACTGGTCAAAGCCCTTTGGCTGGTGATGGCAAATGGCAGGCACCTGCTTGCCTGGGTGAGTACCATCCAGTGATGAGTGCCTCTGTGACCACTTGCCCTTTTCAAGGCTCTCAGGGAATTAGCATAACCGATGGTCATTAGTACCAATTCCCTGCCACATTCTTTGCATACATTATCTCATTCAATTCTTAAAACAACTCCATACGGTAGGTGTTATTATCCCGTGTCACAGATGTAGAAATTGAGGCTGACACAGCCATCGAGTGGCAGAACTGGGATTTGAGGACTGGATTGTCAGACTTTCCACCACACAAACCCACAAACCAGTTTAGAGAAAAAGACGTACTTCTATTGATGGAGGAACACATGCCCACGACTACACATATAACTTCATCGCTGGGGACTGGGCCTCGGGGACACGTGTCAAGCCCCGTAACGTCGAAGAACAGTGACTGCTTATTCTCTCTGTGACTTTGAACACTTAATCCAGTTAAACAAAAGGGTGCGGCCCTTGGTTATATTGTGTGTTAACCACAGACCAAGTCTGTTCTAGGCGGAAGGAAGGAAGGAAGGAAGGAAGGAAGGAAGGAAGGAAGGAAAGAAAGAAAGAAAAGAAAAGAAATACAAGCATTCCCGTTGCTTCTGAACCCCCTGCAGACACAGAGAGCTACACCCCGGGGAAAATATATCCCACCTCAACCCAAATCACACCTGGGATAAACTAGTTTCTTAAAGAGGCTACACCTTCTCTTTTCTGCTACCTGTGAGCATTTCACAGGCTGCCCTAGGGCCGCACATGTCAAATCTGCAATGGCCCTTCACCGACCCTCTATTTAACCCACGGCGCCTCACACCCTCCACCACCCACATCAGGAACATCCTGATACACGTTCCAAGGACACGTGAAGAGACAGGTTCTCTTAACGCAGCTCTACTGTTACCGGGATCATTGGCTGTTATCTAGTTAGTTCCTTCCCAGACAACGCTTTTATCTGAGCCAGTCACACGAGTAACACAAAACTATTTTGAGTCTAAATTGAACCGTCTGTGTGTTGTATCTTTTCATCTTACACGTTAGCAGTAACCTGTGTATTGCCTTAAGTCCACAGAACATTGTTTTCTGACTCTAGCCTCTCATTGCCCATTTCAGAGGCTAGAAAAGAGAGAGACGCATGGCATTCACCCGCCACTAGAATGCTTGAGAAGAGACACAGGTCTTGAAGTATTTGTGTGCCTTTGTGGCCTAAGTCAGGTCTCTGCCCATCAACTGATATTTTTTGAGCACCTCCCGTTTGCAAGGCTTAACTGCAGTGGGTGATACATACGTGTTTTTACAGACTTATTGAAACCAGGTGGCTATTAAAACAATAAATGCTGTGGTTGATTAGCGAACAACTTCTATAGGTTACGGGGACCAGAAAGTGTCTGACAAACGGGAAGGAGTTCTGCTGAGTCTTGAAGAGCAGAGCAGTTTTAAATAGTCAAGGTGAACAGGGGAAGGGATTTCAGATGGAAGGATTACAGTGTGACCAAAGGCATGGAGACAAGGTTTAATGAAAGGAACAGAAAATGAAGCATATAGTTGAAGTAAAGAAGTCTAGTCAGGAAGCTGTAAGAGAGAGGACCATAGAGCGCCTTGAACACCAGTCTATAGAATTTGGGCTGTAGCCATTGGGGAAACGCTGAACACATCTGAGGGTCACATGGTGACAGCTTTGTATGGAAGATGAATCTGGTAGTGTGCAATAAGAATGAGCAACAGGAAAAAAAAAATGGCGGCAGGAAGATGGAGGAGGAGCTAAGGTTTATAGTTCAGGATTAAGTTGATTAGGCCTGAACTACGAAGGCGAGAGATAATTGTGAAAGGCCTTAAAAAAGTACTCGGTAGCTGATTGCATGTAGAACATAAGGCAGAAGAAGACAAAAGTGACTTCAGAATATCGAACCAGTGGCAGCATTCAGTAAAAGCAAAATGATGGAGGATAATACACTGGCTAGCATTTCTTTGCCTCTGATGTAGCTTAAAAGGAACTGTCACTTACTTCATCTAACCATTGTAATAAGCAGAGGAGATCATTGAACCTAGGTGGGCTGATTCCAGAGCCTCTGTGGCTTACATCACGCGAGCGTACCCTGTTTGGGGACCTTAACATGTGTTTTTAAGTGTTGAATTCAAGGGGACAGAAGGACATTGGGAAGGAAATACCCAGTGGGCAATTGGAGAAGTAGGACCAGTCTGCAAGAAAGAGGTCAGGTCACTCCATATTGCTTTGGGAGTCATCCCCATAAAGCTGATAAGAGGTCAAAACCATGAAAGAAAGTGAGCTCTCAAAGGAATCGAGTTAGAAAAAGAACATGATGAAAGCTGAGTTCTGGTATGTGGGAGGTGAGAGAAGGGAGGGAAGGCAGGGAAGAAGACAGAGGAGGAAGAGTCAGTGAGCACACACATGGAAGACAACCAAGATGGTAGAACATCACAGGCTGCCAACGAGGAAAACATTTCGAAGAAGGAAGGGATATTCATTTGTATTAAGTACTGCAGAGGGGCCAAGAGAGGAATGATAGAGGCACGGCGATGTGGTTTAGCAGATAAGAAGCCACTAGTTTCAGGGTCAAGGTCCACCAAGGTCACTTCTTCCAACCTGAGAGCTGCTCCAGATAAATGCATCAGTTGGGGAAAATCAGAAAACGAGACTGTTGCAAGCCCAGTGAGATTTTTTTTTTTTTTTTTTTTTTTATGAGACCCCCTCCTCTGAGTTTCTGGCTCGGCCCGTCAGTTGCCGGAGCGTTTCATGACACTGAATGACCAGAACATCTGAGGAACAAAAACTGGTGCTAGCTGTAATGAAATAAAGATACTTCATTAGCTTTCATGGTGTTTCATTGGACACTCAAAGTGCGTTTGAACGAAGAAAGGGCCGCTTGAGAATGTAAAGTAATATACTTGTGGGAGGGAAATAGACCAGTAATGCCTCTTGTTTGTTTGTTTGTTTCCCTTTTGCAGCATCCATTTTTAAAATTAGCCAAGCCTCTCTCCAGCCTGACTCCTCTGATTATCGCTGCGAAGGAAGCAATTAAGAACAGCAGCCGCTAGGACTACAAGCCTTACCCCACACCATCTCCCTCCTGAGTAAGACTGAACTGTGAAACTCTGCGGCAGGAAAGAGGGAGGAAGCAAAGACAGTCAAATGGGGTGGGGGTGGGGGTTCTTTAACTTTCCAATGACTAGAAACTTCTTATAAGCCTTTTTCCTACTCCCTCAGATTATGTAATTTATTTGTAAGCCTGAATCGCAGCCCGAACCGGGCAGCAATGTCGAAGCGGCCGTGAAGTGGCCACTTCTTCCGTGAAGCGAAAGAGCCAGTAGTGAATCCCCTCGTTTTGTGCATTCGCTTTGAAGAACACAAGGTTTCTCAAAGATGCACACTCCCTCTTCATAGTGTCGTGTTCGTTTTTAAGTTAGAGAGTAGTCCCTCTTGCATTCGAACCTCCTTCAAAACTCCTTACCCAAATGTGACGTTCTTCACTTGCACTGTCATGAGGTGTCCAGAGGAAAAAAAAAAAAAAAAAAAGATGTCAAAACGTTTTTTTTTTAAAGCAAGCAAAAAATGAAAAGCAAAAACAAAACAAAACACAAAAAAACCACAAAAAACAAAAACAAAACAAACAAAAAAAAATTACCCCAGAGCAAATACTGTGTGACCACGTGGAAGTCCATGCCCTAATAGAGTTGCGATTTTTCATTCTTCTTCGATAGTGGTGGCTTGGTTTGCGTGCCTGTTTTTCTGCATTTGTACTGGGAAAGGTTTCTTTGAAGGCATGTTTCCAAAAGCAGAGAGGAGTATGTGTGTTCAGGAAGGGCTTTTAAAAACTGCATCTCTAAATATAAAGCGCAAACGGTGAAATCCTGTCACATTTTCACGATGATGCTTAAGAGAGGTAGTTGATGTATCGTTTGTAGAAACCAGCTTGCTCATCTTCATGATAACCTGAGAAAGGACACCCTAAGCCTTGTGAACTCTCCTGTTGGGTGACTCCAGGTCCTCAACCTAGGAAATCCTGGCAGGAGAAGTCATACTTAGACAAAGATGGGACTTTCTCTGAGAGCCAAAAGGAAAGCAAAATGCGTGTACAATACTTAGATCTTTGTTGGACAGAAGGAAACAAAACTAAAGGTACCTAATTTAATCCCCCCTCGTGCTTGTGGAACACAGACCATCAGAAAATAGGTGCATTAGGAGGAAACAGACCCATTAGCCAACATTTGTTCAACATTTATGATCAAAATCACATGAAAATTTATAACGTTTTTAAAATTCCTCAAAGGATCTGGAGAACAGAGATATTTTAGGTATTCGGCCCTGTCAGAAGTGGGAGGTCTGCAAAAACTACACCCCAATCAATATTTGGCTCTAAGTACTTGTTCCCATTTGCCCTCTGTCTCGCCAGTTTCTGTTTCAGGATATAGTATGTTCATACTTTGTCCTTTGCGCTTTTGAATCTCAAAAACATGTTCATAAAGATCTGGAAATTCTCCAGTAAAAGTAATTAGGGTTTGCAATCATCTATCCCGAGAAGTATCAGTTCCAACTGGTTTCCTTTTGTGGCTTAAGGAAAGCACGAAAATTTGACTATTATTTCACCATGTATCTACTTACTAAAAAGTCACCAGTTGGCACTTCCTGAATCTTCTGAGAGCAGAAAAATATCTGGACGGTGTCTGCGTAGAAACAAAATATATACTTCTCTTTCAAATGTACTGTCAGTTTTATAAATTTTGCAAAGTTGTTTCTCCAAACCTTTGAAAAGCTAACAATTTGTGCTACGGAAGGCTTCTTGATGTGTAATATATCAAGACTCTGAAGAGAACCTGTCTACTTCAGCAAGAGGGAGAAAGGGAATGACATGGGCCTCTCTTCTTCTTTGCCAAGGTACATCTATCCATCCGTCCATTCCTTAAAACGAAAGCACTTTCTTTAGAGAATTTCTGCTAACCATATAGGGTGCGTGTTTATGTTTAGGAAATGGCACCACTGGTGGATTTCCTATTTTCCTACTGTTTTTTGTTTTTTGTTTTTTTTTTTTTTACTATAACATTTGGGAGGGGCTCGACCCCCTGGAAAATAGCCACAGTGAGATAAAACAACAAATGTGGAAAGAAAATCAAATAGCAACATTCATTTGAAGCATGCTGTGTTATGCTTTGCAAAAAGGTGGGTGGGCCTGAAATTTTTAATGCCACACTGTTCTAATGAGAGAGAGGGAGGCCTTAATTTTTATTTCATTTAAAGTTAAATATTTGTTTTAATGTTTCATTCATAGTGCCAGGGAATTCAATGAAACCATACCTGGGGTGTGAATCGAATTCAGTACGTTAACTATGCCCTGCCAGTGGAGGCAACCACACACCTGGTTGGGAAGCCCTAGTTGTTGATTAGTGTCCCTTAGATGTCATTAAGGCCTTTGGGTGGGGAGAGGCCTGGAGCAGTGATCCTTCAGATCACTGTAGACAGAGAAATGGCTGTTCTTTTATGCTTTCAATCCTGCATATTCACAACGAGCCGCCAGATTTCTTCACCACATCCCATCGGACCAAGATTTTATGGTAATATATCGCAGTAGGCTTTACTCTTACCAATTTATATCTATGTAGATTTTAAACGAGAACAGCTTCCAGAGACCCTCCCCCATGTTGGAGGATTACGTATATTTCTAATAAGTATTAGTGAGAAGCCGTTTCTCCTGCCAAAAAAGATGCTGAAGGATTCACGTTGGGTGCACTTGAACAACTTGGACTCCAGGTGGTTAATCGTTTATCCTCTTTCTCTGGACTTGTTTTTTTTTTTTTTAAGCTCATCTTGACACAGATGAGTCTGTCCAGATCTTTAAAGTTGCTAGTGTGCCCTGAGAAAATGGGGGCACGTTGTCGAATGTTGATTCCAAAATGTCCCGAGATAGGGATAGGGCAGTGGGAAAGTCAGGGAAGGGTGAGAAGCACAGTAGAGATTATTTATTTAAGAAAAGAAAAGAACGTTCATGTCGTAGCAAGGATCCGGTGCGTTGTCATAATCCCATGAAGATTCTCGGATGACACAATCCCCCCCAAATCAGTCACCATGCTGGGTAATGACTTCGTTCTTGCTGATCTCGTCTATGTGTCATTGTAAATATTTGTGTGTCCATGTTCCGTTTTGGCTACTGGATGGCCAAGTCACGTAAGAAGATTTAACTCAAGTATTTATTCTTTAATTGTGTTACTCAGATTTCTTCAGGCTTGTGGATTGCACCCCGATGTTGAGTTTAACCACCTGATCCCCACATCTATCCCTCCCCCGTGAAGCACATTCCATTGCTAAAAAAACAAATATGAAATTGCTTCCTGTCGTCTGTATAACTGTTTTGATAGTTTGAGATGTTTGTCTATAAAGGATATTTCTCAGCTCAAAGATCGTGTAAATAACTATATTCCTTTGCGCAGTGGGTTGTTTATTTCTAATGAGGCTGCCAGTTCTCAGAGAGAAATCTATAAAATCACTTTTAAATAGCGTAAACAGGGATTACAACTATGTAAAAAGTAAGTTGTGCATAATGGGCAAAGACTGGGAACACAGACCATTGAATCAGTTGTGTTAGGGTGGTGGGATTATGCAAAACATTTTTTTCTTTCAAAATTTTCTTTGATATTGTTCTAATATTGCTTTATAATAAACATCAGAAAGGGAACTATAGAGACATAGAAAAGATGCCAGGAGCAGATGCCTTCTGGCCAGAGCCCAGAGCATGCAGGGCACACATATTTGCTAGTTACAGTTATTCCATAGGCTTTATATTTGCCTGGGTGCTGAGGTTGGCACACGCTCGGGTATGGCACGTGCTTTCTTAGGGGACTATTGTCTGTAAGTTGAAGCTAGGGAGATGTCGCTCTTAGAACTCCAAACACACCCATCCTTCTGCTTTAAAAGTGGCTGCCCTCCACTTGGATATGGCATGGAGGCTTCTGTTGTGGCTACTTGAAATTGGAGGGGTGACATGTGATTAGCCCCCTTGAAAGCATCTGGGTCAGGGGTCACCTTTCTGGATGGACTTTTAGCAGATTTTCAAGCTGAATGTGGAAGAACAGAAGCATCAGTCCCCCAGCTCCCACCCTGTCCTTGTCTGACTGGATGTTCTATCACTTGGGTAGGGATTCTTCTTTTTGTGACCAGTGGACCAGTCCCTTTGATTTCAATGGAAGTTATGACTGGTGCCTAAAAGCCGACAATGAAAACATGAAGACAAATGTTTAGAACTGCCGTTGCCTGTTGGCCTTCAGTTCCAGTCCTGTTAGCTTTAGCTTGAGATGGCTTCCATGTGCTTTCTGTCCTGCCTGTTTATAGGCTGTATGCAGTAACTACTGTTGTTTTTCAGGAGCGAAAGGGAGACTCTCTACCCAAAGAGAGGAATTTTCCTCTGAACTCACCGAAGACATCTTAGGTGAGGAGTTTTATAATGGGGTAGTGGTCTCAGATGTTATTCAGTTTCACCAAGAGCAGACCTTATACCTAGAGAACCCACTTTCCATTGGCCATTCTCAACATAAAAAGTACTTACGGGCGTCCTAACCCTGCCATCCCCAGCTGGATCTCGCGGTCCTTTTCTGAGCTACTTGCAGTTAGTATTCAGTTAAACACAGGCATGGCCAGGGATGCAAGCTTCTCCCAGTCTCTGAGCAAGAGGACTGAAATTCAGCATTTGTAAATTGAGAGCCAATAGGCCTGGGATTTTGAGTGAACACACAGTTCTGAACATATTTTTGCATGTGGCTTGGGAAGGGAAGAAATGGTACCTTGGAAATAAAGGAGGTATTTTTTTTTTCCTAAGAAAGAATTTTTCCTAAGAGAAAATTGTTTCTGATACAATCTTTCTGTTGGTTAGCTTTAATTTTTCCACTCTTTTTCTGATCCCACACTCCTTCAGTGACCAAATGAATATCCCCCAACTCCTCATGCATGGGGAATGTCTGCTTAATAGTAGACAATATCTAACTGAATCTGCAAATGCGGGACCTGAGATATCGCCTCCATGTGCACACTTCTGTGTGCAAGTATACTATAATTACAAGTAGCATTTACTGCCACGTCATACAGTCAGACTTGCGAGATAAACTTCTAGAAGCTGGTTAGTGCCATCAGAGTCTCCTTTGGAAGCTGCTATCAGGTGAATGCCACCCCATAACACCTACCAGCAGTAAGGGGGGTACCATGTTCGCCTGATTTCACACCTAAGAGGAAATCAACAGCAATTACACAGAATCAAGCAGATGTAGTATTAGGCTAAGAGTAAAGAAGCCTGGATTCTAATGTAGGCTGTGTTACTCTTATTGTGTGGCCTTGGGCAAGTCACTTAACCTTTTCATGGCTATTCCCTCATCTGGAAAGTAAGGGTATCGGACTAGATGACCCCAAGGTCTTTCCAAAAGCCCTGTCTTTCTATGGCACCTTAGGTTGCCTTGCAAATTCAGCCTGCTCAAATGATGGCAAATATCGCATGCTTAAGCCTGGGTTTCTTAGGTGGCAGTTAAACAGAACTGAAAATGAAAGCCTCAATAAATGCAAATAATAC